TTCTTTTTTCTTTTTAAATTGGGGGGTTGGGGGAGGGAAACTGTTGGGGAATTGGGGAAGGGGACCAGCCAAGTTGTTGTTCTTCAATCTTAGTTGTGGGGGGTGCCAGTCGCCATCTGGCTTCCCGTCAGCAGCTCATGGCCTCTGAGCTCAAGGTGCCAAGTTCACTCTTAGTTGCGGGTGGGTGTAGCCACCATCCCATGCAGGAGGTGAACCAACAGCCTTGTTGTTAAGCTCTATCCACTGAGCCATACAGGCGGCAGCTCAGCTCAAGGTGCCAAGTTCAGTCTTAATTGCGGGTGGGCATAGCCCACCATCGAACAGGCAGTCTTGTTGTTAGGAGCTCGTGCTCTCACCAGCTGAACCATCCTGTCACCTGTTGGCAGCTCAGCTCGGGTACAGCATCACTAGCCCATGTGGGAATCGAACCGGTGGCCCTGTTGCTCAGAGCTCATGCTCTTAAGCTAACTCTTAACCAACTGAGCCACTCGGCTAGCCCCAACAAGTCTTTTAAAATAAGCTTTTAATGTAAAGTGTAATAGACCTAAAGAAATGGGCACAAATCATAAGTGTGTGGCTCAGTGAATTATCACACAGTGAACACACCCATGCGACATCTGCAGGAGAGGCAGAACGCCAGCACCTCGCTACCTGGCTCCTCCCCTCCCCACCATGCTCACTCCTGACACCGGGGATTAAGTTTTCCTATTTTTAGCTTCATGTAAATGGAATCATATACTCTCTTGTATTGGACTTTTCAGCACTGTGGGATCCATACTGCATGTCGCAGCAGTTCCTTCATTTTCTTTGCACCGATGATTAGTCACATCCTGGGTGGGAGAGAGAACAACCCAGGTTTCTCTCAGGCTGGGACTCCAAGTGAGCCCCATTGCCTCATCTCCCCAATCTCACGTTGGATGGACAGAGCCAAGCCACCTTTATCCACTGAGGGTGGATTCATGGCTAGAACAGTCATTTCCTGAGAACTCTCTGGCCATGGTACCTCAATCTCTATTAAGAATGTTTCCATTCCCTTCACTGTGCATTCCACTAGTGTTTGCTGAGCCCCTGCTATGTGTAAATCCTGGTGCGGTGAGTGCCGCAGAGATAATCCCAGCCTAGAGCTCACACTACAAAGAAGGAGCCATAAAACTAGTACCCACATAACTCTGACTGAAGGGCATAATCTGTTTAGAGATGATAAGAGAGATGCAGGTGCTTTGGGAGTTCTCAAGCCAGGGGAAATCACACTTATTTGACGAATAAGAAAAAGGCTTTGAAAGGGTGTTTGAGGCTGGAAGGACCAGTGGGATCAACAGGATGATGGGTAGAAATATTCTAGGCCAAGGCCATATCCTGAGTAAAAAAAAACAACAAGCAAACAAAAACAAAGACAGACAATGGGGTACTTGTGGAAAATATTGTGTCCTGATTGTCTTAATCGCAGGGAATGTTAGGGATTGAGCCTAGAAAGCCAGGTGGGAACAATATTGCAGGGCACTTTAAATGTCAAGTAAGTTATGTGTTCGGCAACCCCTTTTCCAACACCTAACTTCTGTCTACTTTGCTTCTCTCGCTAGTATTTTTGTCCCTCCCTTCACTCCTGTCCTTTATAAGAATTCTTATTTTTCACTTCAGTTTAACACATGGTAAACTGGTTTCTGTACCCAACATTCTTCTGAAATTAGTGCTGCTGAGATCTCTGTCTGCCTCAGAGTTCTTGGTTGCAAGGAACTGAAGTAACTCTGGCTAGGGGAAGCAGAAATGGGATTTATGGGGAAGAATGTTGAATGGTTCCCAAGATTGAAGAGGCTGGGAAAATATGCTTAAAAAACAGGAAGAAACCAAGAAATATCTGGCAGCCTAGGACCCAGCCACCAGCACAGCACTCAGGTTTCCATTGCCACTGAGTCCTGCCACCCCACCTCTGCCTGATACATCTGACTGCCCCAACTTTTTGCATCACTCTTTCAAGAGTCAAGGTCCTGGGTGGGAGCATCCTTCTGGCTGAGCTTGAGTCATGGGGCAGGCCTCTCAAAGGTCAGGGAGAAGAACTAGTCACTCTTATCGCTCAGCTATTTAGTGAGAGGCAGAGTTCCCCAAATAGTAAGGTATTTGAATAAGTATAACCTCTCCCAACTGTTAAGCCAAACCGCCTCTTTTTAGCCTTCATCCCACTTTATCTCTGCATCATGCCACCAATCCCTCACCTCCCACACTCTTAAATTTCTGTCTTCTCTCAGCATCCGGGCTATGGCTTTTTTCCTGGTTCTTCCCTGCTTCCGGCCACTCCTTGTCTTCTATCTGCCTCTTAAATGCTGGAGATCCCGAGATTCCCTCTCCTTGGTCCGGAGATTACATTTATTTCCTTGGCTCCAAATGTGACCCTAAATCTTTTGCTCTGGCCTTGATTCTCGTTCTGAGCATAAGTCCCACAGACACCTCACTGTCAACATGTCCCAAATGGAACTTCACTCCATCTCCACAGGGCTGCACCCCTT